TCGGTGTGTCTCCAGTCCACCTCTAATCACCGCAAAACGAAACGTCGGAACGAAAACGGTCCACGACATCGCCAAAGCGCCATCTAGGTCCAGCCCTGTGGGAGGCCCAGGTACTCCGCCACCGGGTTCATGGAAAAGGCGCTCCTTTGCAAGTGCATCGTCTACGGCACCGCCTGATCCCGAGGCTTTGCCTCCTCCCGGCCTCGTTCATGAGGCTGCGCCCCCCTTTTCTTTCCCCAACTCTCGCTAATTTAAGCTTCGCGCGGACCGCTTAGCTTCGACCGGAAGAGGTGCGCTCTCGACCCGCGAAGGGCCTGCTTTTTGTTAGACTCTGGCAAGTTTACTTGCATGGACGAGGGGCGGGGGGCTGAGCCTGAAGCAAGCCCGGGGGGGGGGGGGGGGGCGCGGAAATCACCCAAATCGAAAGGCACTTGCACGCCAGTATTCGCTTGACGAGGGGCGAGGGGGGGGGGGGGGCCGAACATGCAAGTAAACCTGCCTGAATCTAAAAAAACGGGCTCGAATCAAAAAGCTGTTTTGGACACCCGAAATGGGTACCGAAAGAATGGGTACAATGCCCAACAACAAATGTTGTCCCAAACCAACGGCGGCCGCTGTTGGGCAGGCGGCCTTCTGCCTCGAATGGACCCAGGCCGCGGCGGCGTGGACAGCGAATCCTGTTCAGAATGAACAGGAACTGCTGTTGGGCATCGTACCCATTCTTTCCGTGCCCATCTCGGGCGTCCATGCAAGTAAACTTGCCTGAATTTTATATATATATATATATATAGATATCTAAAAACAAACAAAAAAAGGCTCGAACCAAAAAGCTGTGGGAGGCCCCGGCGGCCGCGCCCGGGAGCGGCCAGCGAGTCCTGGGCGCTGGCGCCCACGGCCGCCCCCGGAGCGCCGGCGTCCTGGCCGGGGGGGCGCCGCGCGCGCCGCGCGGCGCCCGGCGCCGGAGCCCCCCTGGGCGGCCCCGCGCGGGCCCGACCCCTGCCCTGAGCATTGGATGCTCCAGATGCTCCAGATGTACACGGCCTGGGCCCCACTGGCCGATGCACCCCCCTATATGGGGATATAGGTCGTTCCCTGCGGGTTTCGAGGGGTGTATCCCAAACTGGGGGGGTAGTCTGGTGGGGGTCTCGACGGGGATGGGGATGGGGATGGGGATTGGTTAAACGATACCGAGGTGTTGGGGAACGTCGGCCGATCCCCTCGCCGATCCTGGCCGGAAGCTCATCCTCAGGAGGCAGCTTCCGAGACGTCTCGTGAGACTGCTTCCGGGACCATCGCGCCGGAGTAGCCGGGATGAAGCCTGGGTCTAAGCCCGAATGAGCGGACTATACCAAATCAGGCCGGTATTCGGCCACGGGTCTGCCAATACGCCACGGAACGATGTACACGGACACCCTCCGACAAACTTTGCATGTCCCTTCGGGGAAGATGTCGGTGTATAAAGTCGCTGGCTCTCAGTGGTAATTTATACACCGCCAACCCCCCTGAGGCCAGGAACAATCTAGCAGAGGGTGTCTATGTACATGTCTTGGTGGCGGAACCAGCGCCGACGCTGGATCTCCCAGGAATGGCACCCGAAAACGCCTCGCCGATCCCTCCTGGGCCCTGGATCGATCGGTGGGTGCGCCTGCCTGGGCAGGCCAGTGCCGACATCGTGGGCCCAGTGCGAAAAGCTGGGGGCACCTCGGGCCAGGGGTACCCCAGATTTCGTAAGAAAGGGAGGGGGGTCTCATTTCGGGGGGGGGGTCTCTTCCAGGCTATCTTGGAGGGCCTGGGGGGGGTCTGGGGGCGATGTTTTGGAGGGTTCTCCCACGGGGGGGGGGTCTAAAGCTTCTGGTCTGGGAGGGTTGAGACCCCCTCCCTTTTATTACGAAATCTGGAGTACAGACCCACACAGTTTTGATTCGCGGGTCGAGAGCGAGCCTCTTCCGGTCGAAGCTCAGCGGGCCGCGCACGTCACAGAGGAAGGAGAGGAGAAGGCGGGGCCTCGCGTCAGGGCCAAGAGAGTGCCAGTCGCGTTTATAGAAGAATCCGGACGGGAGGTTGTTGGCCGCTCTCGGCCCCCGGGGACCCTCGCCGGGCCTCGGGGCCGGGAAAAAAAGGTTCGGCACGAACAAGCGCTCCCCGGGGAAAGGGTCGGGGCTTCCAGGGACCCCGTCTTGGAAAAAGCAGCACGTCGCACGTCTGGGGAGAGAGCGCACAGACAGGACAGGTGGTGAGGGCGCAGAGACCCTCGCAGGCCGAAGCCGGGATGTGGTTTGGGCGGCGGGCGACCAAATTCCCGGGTGGAAACGGCACAGGACGGGCCGCAGTGGCGAGGACACAGAGGGTACCCTAGAAAATGCGCGCGTCCTTACTGTGCGCGTTGACTGTGCGGGCTTTCCAGTCGCGGCCGACGAGATCGATCGGTCGCTACAGACTGGGCGTTGCCGATTTGCCGATTTGCTTCCAAGCCCGTCGCGACCGATTCTGGAAACGGTCGCGACCGATCTGATTGCCCATCGGTCGCAGCCGATCGCGAAAGAATAAATCGGGTACCCGATGATCAATACCTGCAGACCAAGCTCCGAAGGCGCCTGCTGGGACTCCCGAGACGGAACCCCAGATGGAGCGAAGTGAGGGAGAGAGGGACGGAGGAAGGGAGGGAGGAGGAAAAGGAGGAGGACAAGGAGGAGGGGAGCCTAGGGAGGAGGAGGCAGAGACCCAATGCATGGAGCAAAATCAAGATGGAGAATTGTTTACCGCTTCGGCCTCTATGTAGAGGCCCTCGCCGGGCCCCGGGATCGTTAGTTACAGAAACGGCTCTGACTGAAAAGCGCCGGACTCCTGGAGGGAATCGAGTCTTCTGGGGGCACCGCAGTGAAAAAGATGTCGAGACATCGGATCCCTGGGGAGGCCCCTTGGGAGGTAAATCCTGGGAGCTCTTCGTGGGAACGGGTAATAAAAGTGGAGGCATCCCAATGGGGTCTGGATCGCTGAGCATCGGCGACGTCGGCGACGCATCGGGGCCGTCGGCGCGGAGAACGTCAAGCTCCACATCGAGCCGCATCGACGATGCATCGGCGATGCGGCGCGATGTTCCTACCTCACCTACGTCGACCTCACCCACTTCGCCACATCGATGAGGCCCAGTTGAGGGGCCATGTAGCCGGACTCGCCCCGCTGAAGCCCAGGCTCGAGCGAGGTCCAAGAAGGGATTTGCAGCAGGCAAAGACTGGTAGAAAAAACACTTTTCCGCCGTCGGGGACGCCTGCCCCCCAGGCGGCTGGAAAGTGTACACCGCTACGGTGGCACGTCGGGGTGTAAACCTGTCCAGCCGCCCAGGATGCAGGCGTCCCCGACGGCGGGCAAACGATCATGCTGTGGCGCTCCTCGCCCGCGAAGACTCTGCGGCATCGAGCGGGGCCATGCCGGATTTGGGGGGCACCGAAGGGCACCGATACCGCTACTCCCTGGACCCCTCCTGGGGTGCGTCCTGACCAGAACTTCGAGGCGAATCCAGCGGTGGCGACGAGGGCCCTCCAGGAGGCCCAAAGGGAAAACGGGCCAAGGGCAGCGGCAGAGTTAGGGGTACCTCTTCCTCCTTCGAGACTTGGGCCGCGGGTCTCCCGCGGACACACCGGCGCGGATGCCGAGCCTGGCCTCCCACTAGGATTAGGTCGGGCGTGCCAGTCCCCCTACAGGCGGATGTTGGAGGAACAAAACCATATTCAAATGGTACTCAAACATAGCCAACAATACTCATAAAAAATCGCCCGCTGTCTTTTCCTTGATTAGGTTTGAATGATCCTCCTGTAAAAGGACACGCCCGACTTGACACTACTACCCTCGTCGAAATTAACCTCAACAACTCACTCATCGATACTCGGCCCCAGATCTTCCGACAAGCAGTTCAATCACGTCAGACATTTTGAGGTTAATTTTGACGAGGGTTGTAGGAGCTGCCTTCCCGAGGCGGCGCCGGGTGGGCGGGGAGGCCCCGGGCCTCCCCGCCGCCCTCGGGGGCTCGGGGCTCTCTCGGGCGTCTCCGAGGGCTCCCGCGGCAGCTCTCCAGCATCGGCGCGCTCTCCGGAAAGCGAAGCCGAGACGAGGATCAAGTCGGGGGGGGGGACTGGCCATCGCTCGGACGTCCATTCCCTGTGCTTCTTTCGGTTTCGTGCGTGCTTTTATCGCCAGATGATCAGGGATGCTCCTCGATGGTCCTCGCCGAAAGAAAATTGCACACGTCAGAGCGATGCCAAGAGCCGAGACGAGGATCAAGTCGGGGGGGGGGGGATGCATCGAGAGCCTTGGAGATCCCGTGGTTCTGGGGGAAGTCTCGGGCGCCGCGGCCTTCTCAGAGCGTCCCGGCACGCTCTGTCAGCGGTCCGGAACAATCTGGAACGGATGCATCCTCCTCCCAGCCCCGCCCGACAGAAGCTCTCCTTCCTCGGGGTGCTCTCCAGAAGCTGCACCTCGCGGAGAGCGCTCCCGGAGTGCCCTGGATCGCCCCGAACTGTTGCCAGAGGCCCGAGCCATCACCCGAGTCGCGAGAAAGCACGACAGGATGTTTGCGGCTGCTGTCTGCCTCTGGAAAGTTCTTGCCGAGCTCCAGGGTCATCAAACGGCCCCCAGGAAGGGGTCAGGACCTCCGGAGAGCCACATACAGAAAAAACGAGACGTGGGATATGTCCTGGGAGGGAGCGAGGGAGAGAGCAAGGGGATAGGGGGGGAGTGGGACAAGGCGGGGGAGGAAGGGAAGGTAGCCCGAGAACCAAACGAGAGGCCGATGAGTACGTGTTGACAGTGAACAGACTGACGAGCGATCTTGCGGGCTGGCTGTAGGAACCCATTTCCATAAGATTCGCAATAACGCCCGTGACAGGCCCCGCCCCCCCCACTCCGCCCCCTGGTCAAGTCACGATTCGCGCTGGCGCCGTATAAGAATGCGCCATTCTTCAGGATTCCCAGACGGCGCGGGGGGGCGAAACGTGTTGCGACTGCCCCCCTCCTCACCCCCCCCTGGACACGCCCGTTATCGCCAGAGGATGCCAAAGCACGGTCTCGAGTTGGGAGACGGGTGCAGGGGCAACCGCCTCGCACGATCGGAAAGAAAGAGAAGGCAGGAGAGCCCGAGAACCAAACGGTAGGTTGATGAGCATGTGCCGACAGCGAAGAGACTGATGAGCGATAGTGTGGGCTGGCTGCAGCTGAGTGATGCGTGCAGGCGCGAGGGAGGAGGATTTTTGGATTGCCTGCTCGTTGAGGCAACTAGCCTGTCGAGTTGCGGTGGCGCTGCGGCTAGCGATGCAACTGAAATAGTGAGATCGCACGGGCACCTAAGGATTGCAGTATACAGTACCAGTACACCAAACCCACCCCTCCACCCCATGCTCCACGCAAACTCCCCCACCCTTCAACTGGGCAACTGGACGGCAAACGCGAAAAGCTGCGACAGTGGCTTGCTGTGCCCGTCCAGGGCATTCGGGCGGAGGGGCGGAGGGAAGGAGGGGGAAGTAAGTACGTAAGCCAAGCGGGAAGGAGGAAGGCTGGGACGCAGGCCACATTCCCTGCTCGAGATCGCCGAAGAATGGCAACGACTCAGCTTGGCATCTATGAGGCATGGCGGTACCGCAGTGGGAACACCATGCGGAAACTCTATGCCGAGACAGGCGGCCGTCAAAGCGGCCGACGGCCGAGGAGGAAGATCCATCGCACGGCACTCGCAGGAGGAATCTTTGCACCTACGCACGGCACTCCCTTCCCGAACCATTCTAAACCCCCACCCTCAACAATACGCAGCTAGGCCGGCAAACGCTAAAGGGGTTTGCTGCAACGGCCTGGGCACTGTGGAGTAGGGGCGGGAAAAGGAGGAATAATGATGGATGGCAGAGGATGAGAGGGTAGGGCTGGGACGACGACCTCGGCCCTGAGCCTTCGGAAAAAAGTCGCGGCGTGGGAGCGAAACTGCAGGCACTCGATCGCCGCTCGGCCCTCCACTCACGCCTCACTCGGTCGCGGCCCTCCACTCACGACTCACTCGATCGCCGCTCGGCCCTCGCCTCACGCCTCCCCGAGCCTGCACAGCGGCGGCGCAGGGGGGGCCTCCAAAGTCCAGCGCGGCCCGCCGCCCGACGGCCTCATCCACCAGGCGCCGCAACTCGCACGCCCTCCACCGGAAGTCCTGCACCTGCTGGGAGTGTGGGGCTGCCTTCTCCCTCCAGTACAGCACGGCCTCGACCCTGGACAGCTGCTGCTTAAGGAGGCGGACCGCGCCGTCCGCCGCCTGGATGCCCGTGGTAGGCTGCACGCGCTGCACCCTCTGCATCGCCGTAGGCGGAGCAGCCGTGGGCGCGGCGACCACCTCGTCGACGCGCGGCTGACCCTCACTGGCACCGCGCGCAGCGGCGGCGCGGCGTCCGGGCCACGCGTTCCGGCATGCCGTCGCCTGGCACCTGGCAGTCAAGGACACGACAGCGGCGGCGGCCTGTGCCTCAGCCGTCACCTGCTGCACGATCTCGTCCTCCTCGGTGGCGAGCCGCACGCGCGAGCCCGATCGCGGACGCGGCTCGGCCTCGGGCTGGCAGCGGCGGCGACGGCGCGAGGCCGACCGCAGGCGGCCATCGCCCTGCTGGCCCGCGCCCGCATGTCGAGGCTCTCCAGGTGGCGGCGGCGGTAGCACACGAGGCTGCTGCAGCAAACGCGCTGGACTCGGTGATGTAGGTGGCGGGCACACGAGCACGAGCTTGCAAGCCGCCAATGGCTCAGCAAGAGCATCACGAGCACGATCACGAGCACGGGCCTCGCCCGCAGCCGCAGCCTCCAGCTCCGGCGCACCAGCGCGACCAGCACGATGAGGCTCGCGATCGGCATGAGCAGCGGCGCGAGCGAGACTGGCCACGTCGCTCATGAGCGGCCGGCGACCAGTCCGGGCAGCGAAGCCGAGCCTGCGCACAGCGGCGCGCAGGCCCGGTCTCGGCTGGTCCCCATGGCGCCAGCCGGAAGACTCTCGGTGCGCGCGGCTAGCCCTCCACTCGCCTGGGCACGGCGAGGCGAGGCGGCCGGCACGCATGGCTGCCCGCCCCGCGCGAGGTGCGCTGCTCCTGGAGCAGTCCCAGAAACCTTGAGCCAAAATGGCTACGGAGGGGGGAGGAGGGCGGAGGGAGGGCGAGGGGAGGGAGTAAAGAGAAGAAGCGGAGGGCGGAGGGAGGGGAGGATCAAGGGGCACAGCGAGGCACACGTGAATCAACACAAATTCCAGGATCACCACTCTTTGCCCATATACCGTGGAGTGTCCTCTTCCGACTTCATTCCCAGCACTGTCCAACATCCTCAGGACCATCAACATGCATGCCGCATTTGTGCACACACACACCTTTGAAGGGGCCCTGGGACACACAAATAAACACACACACACACAAATAAAAAGATCCCCAAGATGTTTCCCTATGTTCGAGGTTTTTGTCTTCCCGCCCAATTCCCATATTTCCCCATTCCTATTTTCTGGGTTGTTGTCTTCCCGCCCAGTTCCCATATTTTCCCATATCTTCGTGGGGACCGACGATGACTTGTGTCTGTGCGTGTTTGCTCCTCCTGCACCTCGCCCTCCCCCGAGGGAAGGCGGAGGGCCAGGGGGGGGGGGGCAGAGGCGCGGAGCGGAGAGGGCACGCGGGATATGGGGGAGCAGCGGAGGCGCGGAGAGAGGAGGCAGGCCGGATCACGACCTCGCGGTCTGCACTGTAGGAGCCAGAAAAAAAACACACAAAGGAATTTCACACAAAGGCTTTGGGCACCACCAACGGTGCAACGCATGTGCACACATGCCACTGGATCCCCACCGACCCGAACCAGGGTTGATGCACGGCCGTGCTCTAGAATGCAGTTGACATGTACGGCGTGGCCGGACCACGATCTCGCGGTCTGCACCTCTTGGGCGCGCTCCCGCCCCCTGAGTGACGAGACGAAGCCAGGACGAGGATCAAAAGGGGGCAAGGAGAGATACAGACTCTCGCGGAGAGGAGGCAGGCCAGACCACGACCTCGCGGTCTGCACCTCCGGGGCGCGCTCCCGCCCCCCGAGTAACGAGACGAAGCCAGGGCGAGGATCAAAAGGGGGCAGGGAGAAAGACAGAGAACCTCCGAGACCTGGCAGCTCTGGAGGCCGCTCTCGGGCGCCGCGGCCTCCTCGGAGCCATTCCGGAACGCTGTGAGAAGGTTCCCGAACGATCTGGCCTCGTCCTAGCCCAGTCACAGATGGGTCGACCGTGTCCTTCTATAAGGCAACGACTGAATTTGTCGGCGGCTTCGCGTGGCTGGCGACGCCCAGCCAGACGCCGTACCCGACGCCCAGCCTCTGTGGACCTCCGCGGCCCTATCATAAACGTGATTTCGACCGGCTTTCGTCCAGGGTTCGAGCGCCCCGCTACACCCTTGCGCCATGTTTGGCACATTCGCCCCTCTTGCACGTTTCCAAATCGAAGACAGCCCAAGAAGCCTCCCAGATCGTCCCAAGACGGCCGAAAAGGCGCCCAAGAGGGCTGCCAGAAAACCCAAGAGGGCCCCAAGGCCGCTCAAGAAGTCCCCAAGACGGCCGAGAGGGGATCCAGGACAGCCCCAAGGGGGGCCCAGAGGGGGAACCCGAACAAACATGTCGAGCCTTCGACCCCAAACCGCCCTCCTGCTGCCCCGAGAAGACCCCAACAGGCTCTCAGGGAGCTCCAAGACAGAGGTGCTTCCCAATGTTCGGCCTCTTGGGGCCCTCACCGGGCCCCAGGACCATCGAGAAACGGCTCAGGATGAAAAATCGGTCTCGGGGAAAGGGTCGGGACTTCCGGGGACCGCGTACTGAAAAGCAAGGGCATCATATTGCGAGTCGGGGATTTATCCATATCTACCGCCTGGGAACCGACGTCCTGGTGCCTCAGCGGGCGGTCGATATGGATTTATTTCGGCCCCGGAGCCCAAATATGTCCATATCCACCGCCTGCCGAGGCTCCGAAAACTGACCCTCCAGGCGGTGGTCATGTGTAAGTTCCCGCCTCGGATCATATATCCGGGGCGGACACGCGGTCGCAAAGGACGGGCCCAGCGCGGGGGGGCAGCCGCGGGAAAAACACAACACAACGCATCCGTGGGGCCGCGGCCTACGGTCCAGCCCGCGAGGCCGCGGTGATATACGGATACGTGCCTCGCCCACGACCGGAGGTGAGCAAGGAGGGGGCAGGTGTTGTGAGCATCGTTTAACCGATCCCTATCCCCAGCGGCGTGGCCTGGGCCCCACTGGCCGATGCACCCCCCTATATGGGGATATAGGTCGTTCCCTGCGGGTTTCGAGGGGTGTATCCCAAACTGGGGGGGTAGTCTGGTGGGGGTCTCGACGGGGATGGGGATGGGGATGGGGATTGGTTAAACGATACCGAGGTGTTGGGGAACGTCGGCCGATCCCCTCGCCGATCCTGGCCGGAAGCTCATCCTCAGGAGGCAGCTTCCGAGACGTCTCGTGAGACTGCTTCCGGGACCATCGCGCCGGAGTAGCCGGGATGAAGCCTGGGTCTAAGCCCGAATGAGCGGACTATACCAAATCAGGCCGGTATTCGGCCACGGGTCTGCCAATACGCCACGGAAAGATGTACACGGACACCCTCCGACAAACTTTGCATGTCCCTTCGGGGAAGATGTCGGTGTATAAAGTCGCTGGCTCTCAGTGGTAATTTATACACCGCCAACCCCCCTGAGGCCAGGAACAATCTAGCAGAGGGTGTCTATGTACATGTCTTGGTGGCGGAACCAGCGCCGACGCTGGATCTCCCAGGAGTGGCACCCGAAAACGCCTCGCCGATCCCTCCTGGGCCCTGGATCGATCGGTGGGTGCGCCTGCCTGGGCAGGCCAGTGCCGACATCGTGGGCCCAGTGCGAAAAGCTGGGGGCACCTCGGGCCAGGGGTACCCCAGATTTCGTCATAAAGGGAGGGGGGTCTCATTTCGGGGGGGGGTCTCTTCCAGGCTATCTTGGAGGGCCTGGGGGGGTCTGGGGACAATGTTTTGGAGGGTTCTCCCACGGGGGGGGTCTGAAATGGCTTGTCTTGGAGGGTCCAGACCCCCTCCCTTTTATTACGAAATCTGGAGTACCTTCAGCAACCCCCGACCCTGAAGTGGAGGGCAGGGAGGCAGGGAAAACAAGAGGGGAAGAGAATCCGGAAGATCGAGCAGGCCGCATTTCCCTCCGCGTCGCCCGTGAGCCCTTTCTGGCCTGAGGGCCCCAGCGGCTCCGCCGCCTGCAAAATCCCACGCGCAGCCGGAAACACCAATGCTGAGGGGGCATCGCGCACCCTGCCTGTACGCACTCGCGGCAGCCCACTCCAGACACGCGGGGACAGGACACGGAGAGCACGGCTCGCGCGCTCTCAGGAGAGCTCGAAGACGCTGTAGGACGTCTGCTGGCCCTGGTACTCCACGATCCTGGCCACCTCGGCTGTGCCAGAGTCGGGCGAGTACAGCGGGGGCCAGTCCACAAGAAACCTCCCACAAGAAACCCGACCCTGAGACCCCAGGACGTCCATCGATATTTGGCGTGGGAACGTCGCGCTTTTTTCGGGAGCGGCCAAGAGGGGGGCGTCCAAGAGGGGGGGGTGCAAATCATGACCGGCAGCATGTGCGCGGCCCAGCGGGGGGGCCAGGGACGTAATGAAATAAGAAGCGGCGCCATGAAATCTGGGGAAATATCATGGCCCACGCCATGATATCCCCCCCCCTTGTCATCACCCCCCTCTTTTCCGCCCCCGCTTTTTTCATGGCAAAACCATCTCGAAACGCAAGGCACCCGGAGCACCCTGGAGGCAGGCGTGGTGCTTCCTGGCGTGGGCCCCCGCTGCGCCGCTCGCCGGAGGCAGCGAGGGCCGCGAGGAGGGGCGAAGTGCGAAGGGGGTTCGGGGGCGTGGGAGGTGCATCGGGAGGAAGGAGGAGGAGGGGGGGAGGAGGAGGAGGAGGAGGAGGAGGAGGAGGAGGAGGAGGAGGAGGAGGAGGAGGAGGAGGAGGAGGAGAAGGAGGAGGAGGAGGAGGAGGAGGAGGAGGGAGGAGAGAGGAGGAGGAGGAGGAGGAGGAGGAGGAGAGGAGGAGGAGGAGGAGGAGGAGGAGGAGGCTGAGGAGGAGGAGGAGGAAGAGGAGGAAGCAGGCGAATGGGCGACGGGGGGAAGCAACCCTGGCCACAAAAGGCATCGAGGGCCGCGCGTGTAGGGCGAAGGCCAGCGACGCTGGGGGGGAGGCTATAAAAACAAGGGCGGGCGAGGAGGGATGAGGGTCAACGATAGGGGGAGGATTGGCATAGAGGGGGGGGGATGCATCGACCTGGAATCGGCGATACATCGTCGACGAATCGGCGATGGGCCCCCGAGAGCGAGTCCGCACCTTCCTGGGCGGGTTGGGGCTATCGGACCCCTGTCGGCGATCAATGGGCGATTCGGGGTGGATGCGTATCCCCTATACCCATCCCCCGCCATCGCTGCCCCCGAAGGGAGCATGGAGAGAAGGGCGGCAGAAGCCCACTTCCTTCCGTTCCTGCTTCCACACGGAGTCTGCACCTGGAAGCTGTGTGGGCAACGGCTCGCCGAGCGCCTGCAAGCTCCGACCGGTACCCCCTACAGATCCTACAGGTTCGTGCTGGGATCTCCATGCAGCTCGTGTGAGATCTTATTGGGACCCCCCTACAGCTGCTTTAAGCGCATACTGGGACTCACTACAGCTCTCAAGGCTTCGACGTGGATCACCGTACAGCTCCTACAAGCTGCTGGTGGCACTCCATACAGCTCCTACAGACTCCGCCTGGGACTCTGATACGAGGTCTAGTGGGAGCTCTCGTACGAGCTCTAGGTCGGAGCTGCATCAGGAGCAACAGTGGGAGCTGTGGTAGGAGCTCGTGTGGGGGGCTGCAGCAGGAGACGGAGAAGGAGCTGCAGTAGGAGTTGTAGTAGGAGCTGTACATGGAACTGAAGTCGGAGCTGCACTAGGGCCTGCAACGGGAGTAACAGTAAGAGCTGTAGAATAAGCTGCGCTGATTGCCTGGGAAAGCTGAAGTAGCAACTGGTGAAGTAGCTGTAATACCAGCTGTAGTAGGAAACGCATGATGGTATGCAGTAAGAGCCCTGGTAGGAGCTGCAGCAGGATCTCTACTAGCAGCTGCAATTGCAACTGTAGGAGAAGCTGCAGTAGGACCTGCAGTGGGAGCTACAATACGAGCTGTAGGAAGAGCTATGGTAAGAACTGCGCAAGCTGCAACGATATCTATCATTGGGTCTGTGGCAGGAGCAGCAGTCGGAACTGGAATCGAAGCTGCAGTCGCTCTTGCAGTAAGAGTCCAATTGTGTTACAAGAGACGATGTAGAAGACGCAGGAACAGGAGCTGCAGCATGAGATGTAAGAGAAGATCGGGTAACCGCGGGCTCAATGCAGAAATGTGGCACACTTCTTGCGGGAGCACTTTCGCACCCTGAATTCAAGCGGGACTGTTACAACGAGTCACAGTCAGACTCATACCGCGACTCCCCACAGGCTGGTGATACGACCCCCCCGGTAGAGCTCCGATTGCGACGCCCAGCAGGACTACTGACACGACCACGGGGCGGAATCCGACAGGATCTCCTACTAAACTTGGAATCCTGCTGAACTCTGGAGGGGAATCCTGCTAAGACAAGCATGGGGCTTCATGCTTAGAAGTCGAAATGGAACCCACACCAAGAATCCGAATCCGAATCTTAGTCGGGCTCCTACTCAGACTCCGACTGCCAAGCGTAGTACGCCTTCTACTAAGAATCCGAGAGGGACTTCCGCTACGAGTCCTAATATCGTTCCTACTGCGACTCACTGCTGGCCTCGGACTACGGCTCCTTGCAGGACTCCTGCTACAACCCCCCTCGAGTGGGCGTGTTACTACGACAACTGCATGGGCTCCTAGCAAGACTCCTGCTACGGCTCCTCGCACGACTCCTCCTACGATACCTTGTGAGGCTGCCCCTGGGTCTCGTTCTAGGGATACGATCTGGACTCCCATAGTTTGGTGAAATTCTTGCTAGTGCTGTGTTTGACGGACTGCTGGTTGGTTCGTGGCTGGGGCGCGGGGCGCTCTAGCTCGAGCTGCTCTTTCAGACAGCAGCCCACATATTTGCATGCATAATTTGCTGGAGTAGCTTTCCATCGTAAAATTGGTGTGCTGGAACAAAGCCGTGGGCTGCTGGAAACACTGCCCCTCGCAAGATTTGCGTGCTTGAACCCACCCGTTCTGTCTGCATGAGCTGCTGGAGTCACTTTCCTCGTCAAAATTAGGAGCTGGAACATCATCACGCTGGGGGAGGGGGATGGGACGAGTCCCTGGGGGGGGGGTTCTAGTATTGTAGTCACGCCTCGCTTTCAGGATGTAGCTCGCGTGCGCGAGCACGTGTGTGTGAGCGTGCGTGCGCGCGCGTGCACCGAGCAAGCCCGAACCCGACCCTGCGCCCGAGCGCGAGATTGAGACCGAGCCAGTCCCTGAGCCCGAGCGCGAGCCCCAGCCCGAGCCCGAAGCCGAGCCCGATCCTGAGCGCGTGCGCGTGAGTGCGCGCGCGTGTGCGTGAGCGCGTGCGAGCGTGTGCGCTTCCGAAATTTCAACGTGCGGTCGGATAGAGATTAGTACCAAGTCTATTCACCTGACTGTTGTAAGGCTCCTGTTCGTACTTCCACTCTGATTCGCACTAGACATGAGAATCCAACTAGGACTCCTGTGAGGAATGCGTCCAGGACTACTACGAGGAATCCCCAACCGACTCGGGATAGTTTCCACCGAACGCCAGTCCACGGGACAACGGCAGTTTGCAGCCAGTCACAGATAATAGCGAGGGCGAGGCGGTGTAGGCTTGAACCACCTGGCTTACACCATCTAGCTTGCACCACGCGGTGAAGCCCAGCCCACATGATTAAACATCACGCGACTTGTGAGGTTGTCTCCAGCGAAACCGCGCCCAAAGCATGCCAGACCAGGCCAATCATCAGGACGTCCCAAGCGAAATCTCGCGCAAACCAGGCCCAACCAGGTAAACCGTCAGGAAGCAACATGCGAAACCGCGCCCAAACCATGTCGAACCAAGGACAGTCATGAAGACGAATCAAGCGAAACTTCAAACCAAGCCCCACCAGGCAAACCGTCTTCACGCATCCGGCGAATCCGCGCCCAAACCATGTCGAACCAAGGACAGTCGTGAGAACTTATCAGGCGAAACCAACTTCAAACCAAGCCCAACCAGGCAAACCGTCAGGACGCATCAGGCGAAACCGCGCGCAAAGCATGCCGAACCAAGGACAGTCGTGAGAACTTATCAGGCGAAACCAAGTTCCGACCAGGTAAACCGTAAAGAAGTGTGCGGAGAGCCCGCGCCGAAGCTAGGCCAAAACCAGGGAACTCGTCTCAGGCGAGACCGCCCGCGCCCGAACAAGGTCCAACCAACCAAAATTCAAGGACGTTTCCAGCGAAACCCCGCCGGGACCAGGCCAAACCAGCCAAACTGCAATGATGTATCGGGCAAAACCGGCCCCAAATCAGGCCAAGCCAGGGCCAAGAGCCCGCAGGACTGGGCGACCGCAGAAGAGGGAGGGGACGAGCTGCGGGCGTCGCGGTCTCTGAGATGCGACGTCGACGACCACGACCACGACCCAGACCACGACCACGGCGACGGCGACGGCGACGGCCACGACCACGGCGACGGCCACGACCACGGCCACCACCACGGCGATGGCGACGGCGACGGCGACGGCGACAACTACGGCGACGGCGACGACTACGATGACGACGCCGACGACGATGGCGACGGGGGCAAGGAAGGCGCGGCTCGCCGCCCCCGCGGCGGCCGAGCGCGGCGCCCGTCGCAGGCTGAAGGGGGGAAGCTCGTAGTCGTACTTGACGTAGGTCGTGAAGCACTTCTTGCCCAGGCCCTCGGCGCGAGGCGCGGGGTGGCGGCGACCGACGGGGACGCCGCCGACGACGAGGGCCCGCCGACGACGACGACGACGCAGACGACAACGACGACGACGACGACGACGACGACGACGACGACGACGACGGGGACGGGGACGGGGACGAGGACGACGGCGACGCCGACGACGGCGACGAGGACGCGGACGACGCCGAAAAAGTCGACGCCGCCGCCGCCGCCAACGACGACGACGCCGCCGACGCCGACGACGACGACGCCGACGACGACGCCGACAACGCCAGAGCCGCTTCGCCCAGGGGCCGCCTCGCTGCCCAGGCCCTCCGCGGCAAGGGCGGCCACGAGGCCGCCCGTGGGCGAGACGAGGCACCCCCGTTTGGGGGGGGGCGGAGGAAAAGGAGGAGGAGGAGGAGGAGGAGGAGGAGGAGGAGGAGGAGGAGGGAGCGAAGAGGCAGAAGGAGGAGGGAGCGAAGAGGCACAAGGAGGGGGAGGAGGAGGAGGAGGAGGAGGAGGAGGAGGCGGAGGAGGAAGAGGAGGAGGAGGAGGAGGTGAGGGAGGAGGAAGAGGAGGACGAGGACGAGGAGGAGGACGAGGACGAGGAGGAGGAGGAGGAGGAAGAGGAGGAGGCAAAAGAGGAGGGGGAGGGAGAACCTCCTCTGGAGGCCTCCCGTGCGCGAGGGCCCCCAGGCAGGCAGCTGGCCACGAGTCGGCGGCGCGTACAGGGGCAGGTAGAAGGACACATGCAAACCCGACCACACACACCCAGGTGTTCTAAGTGTGGGGGTCAATTCTCCCGGGAGGCCTCGGACGAAGTGAACCCCGCCTCCCTCCTCAGAAATCGCGGGGTGGCGGGGCGGGGCTCGCATGTGGCCTCCGAATATGGGGAGGAGGCGAGGTTTCCCAAAAGGAAGCCGCTTCCCTGAAGGCGCGGGCCCCGCATCTGCACACAAGGCCCGCGCCGTCTAATAGGCACGACGGTTTCTAGGAGTGCCCTCCCCCCCCCCACACACACACACACTGGTCTACGCGCGGCCGGAAAAGAAGGCGAGGCCCCGCACGCTTCCCGAGGCTATCCAGGAACATGAACGAAAAAACGGCGCGCGAGTCGCGAGGATATGGCGTGCTCCTTTTGGAGTGAACGCACCAGCCTTGCCTGGGTCCGCCCATGAAGCGAGCGGCAAGGGATCCCATGCGCATGCCAATTACCCCGGCGGGCGCACGCCCAAACTGGCTACCTACCAGATCACCCCAGACCAAACCGAAGTTCTGGACTTCGGGTTGGGGTGGGCACGAGCTTCGCATTTATCTGTTTTTTTCAATGCCCCCTGCCCCCCCCCCCCCCTCCACCCCCACACTCACCACTGCGGGCGGTGACATGCTGCGCTAGGTCGCACTCCTTGGGTCGGAGCTTGCAGTCACTATGGCCGCGACCGCGACTGGCGACGCAGCAAGGACCCCAGGGGTTCCGATTGAAAGCTGCCAGGGGCCCGGGGCCACCAGCGGGCCAGGGGGGGCGCTCCATCCACCCAGACGCCCCAGCGACCAAATGAGAACCCAATAGGTACACCAGATGCCGCTGCAACGCGCCACACACACACACACACACACACACTTGCAGTTGCAACGCCCGCCTGTCCGCTGCCCAGGGGACGCCCAAAAAAACACTCGTGCGCACGCAGTGGGAGGTGGCGCCATGGAGCCATCTAGCCGCGCTCCAGGTCTCACAGGGCCCCCCTCCCAGTGCCCCGCGCCCGCTCGGCCAGCAGACGCTCTCCTCGCAGTTGCGTGGCACGCGCGCGCATGGGGTCCACCATGTCTTGATCAAATAAACAATGGCAATGTCGACACTGAGCATGACTATGCGATGCTGACAGTGGCCCGAGGTGCTCGCTGTCTATCCAAGATTGCGCGCCACCTGCCCCTCTGCGGCCTGCGAAAAAGCCGAGTGCGAAAATATCCTTCCGATGAATTCTGCACGGCGCCAATTCAGCAGAATACAACGCGCGCTCTCAAGGGCGCGCGAGCCCCCACTTCACTGAAGAGGGCGGGGGCAAGCACTGCAAGGGGTTAGAGGCCATCTTCTGGATCTGTAATGCCGCAGGGTAGGCGGCCCGCAATGTCTGGGGCCCTGACCGCCGCTGGGACGCGCGCTGCTCTGCATCCTCGACGCGCGCCCGTTCAGCCCGATCTGGGTCGAACGCGGCCCCGCGCATCATGCATGCGAGCTGGCGCAGCGCAGAGTTGAAGGTGATCGCGCAAAAGCACTCAAGGAAAACAAGGTGGAGCACGACGTAGATGCTGCCCCCCCCCCCCCCATGAATCTAGACGCCAAGCGCGATTGGCTGCAAGCCGCGCGCGCCATGCGCTGCCGCGCGCCCTTGGCGGCAGTACCCACATACGTACACCGCGCAAACCTCAGTTCCAAGTTGCCCGCCATAGGCGGGTAGATAGGGTAGCTGACGTCGGCGACGTGCACCGGCACGCCTCCCCGGCGCACCATCCCGGAATTAGCCTTCTGCGCCTGCTGGGCAAGTGCTGCACGAGCTGCCACCATAGCGCGGGCGGCTATGGCAACACTGACTCCCCCCCCCCCCCATGCTGGCATCGATCTCATCAGGAGTTCCCCCCAAGCATCAAAGTCATCCCTGGGGGCTGGTCTGCTGCGCAGGCGATGACGTGCTCCGAGGCCATAGTACGTCCTCCAGAGCACGACGCATCCGAGACGTAGCTGTTGCGCGCGTCACACGATACACATGCGCAACCAAGCTGCGTGGGGCGGGCGTGCCACGATGTAGTAGGCGGCCGAGCAATTGGAGCCTGTGCGCACGCAGCACCTCCCGAGATCAGCCCCCCCACCTTAGAAAGTAACAGGCATCAGTATATCGGCCCCGGCCTCAGCGTCACGCTGCGGTGCACTGCAAGTGCGCGCGCTGGGCCTCAACGAGAGTCTAACCAGGTCGCCGCGCTGCATTGGAGCCCCGAGAAGATGAGGGGCAGCCATCAGAGGGAGACCCACAGGAAACTCGAAGATGCGCCTGCGCAGGAGCTGCCCATTGGACCTCGCCGAGTCTGCGGGCCAACCCGGGCCCACTAAATCCTGGCTCGACACGCTGCACGCCGAAACGTGAGTACTTACGTGCCGCACGTCGTTTAAATTAACCGAGTAGGTCGGGCTGCGCCATCAAGCTGCCCTGTCGCCCCTGCCACAACTCCCTCTGGGCTTTTTGTGTATGGAACCTGCCTCTCGAAGCTGGAACAGCACCTCCGCCCTGCCAAATGCGAAATTAAGGCGCAGGCCCCGCGCGCAAAACTGACCGCGACCACCTCTGCCACCATGGAGGCTGCCCATAGTGGCACGTTGGATGGGCCCATGACCGCGATTTCTCCATCGGCGAAGACGCAGGCGCCCAGCCCCCCCCCCCCCGCCCCCCCGATCGCGCCAGGGGCCCGTTGCAGCCAATCAGACAAGCAAGCATGCAGGGCACTTGGGCTGCGCATATCAGGCGCAAGCCCCCGCAGACATTGCGGCGCCTCCTGAGCGCATGCTGTCATGACAGAATGGATAACAACGTCACCTTGCTGCTGTCCTGGCATTGCCACCTCCTGAGGGAAAGCCACGGCCGTGGCCCCAGGGCCCCAGTGCACCACAACCAACCACCGGCGTAGCTGGAGGCCGCGCGGGCACTCGCATGTCTAGAGACCCCTGTTCTGTTCAGGATGGCTGGTTGGCTGGCGACGTGGTCTGCGAGGGCGTCAATGGCAGGCTTCGTTCGCCCCGCCCTTCGCAGCATTTGCTGTAGATCTGCGTCGGGAGTTCCCATCTGCATGAGTAGCTCCCTGATGGCGCGATAAGCGGCGAAAATGGCGTCTAGCACGAACAGGAATGCTAAGTGATCGGTCGCTGCTGCAGGCTCCTGGGAGGGCCAAATGGCAAGGCCCCGAGATCCACGTCTCTTCCTGCAACGCCACCGCGCTGCGAGTCCCCTGCGAAGCCGGGCAAGGCGCCAGCCAGTGGAGCACGCAATAGCTGCCTGTACTCCATATCCACTCGGGGCGGCGTCGTCGCCGCCTTGTGGTTTTCGCGGATATCTGGGGTCGTCTTCTTTTCCGGATATTCAGCCAGTTCCCTCCTGCCCCATTGCAGCCGCCACTCAATGCGCGGGCAGGCCTCGAAGTGACTGGAACCAAAACGTTGTAGCATGGCGCCCTGGATCCCATAGGCTGGCAGCCGGAGCCTTGGCTGCGCGACAAGAACGCCGACGTTCCGCAAACGTGGACAAGAATACCTCATGGCGCCCAATGTCGCGCGTGAAGCCCAAAAGCAGTGGCGGCGGGCACTGAGAGAAGGCCCCCGCTTTCTGCACGGGCGCCATAAAACATATCTCCCCGGCGGAGACATGGCGCGCCCATCTGTCCGCAGCCTCCGCGCGGGCGACAGCCATCGCGCCGTCTTCTAACCCAAGTGCGGGGAGTGCTCCGGCGTTGCCCTTTTTGGCGAACCCAATTCCCATGGCGCGTAGTTCGGCAAAAACCCGACCAAACTGCCCGCGGCCCCAGGCACGTGAACAGCGGCACGTCGCATCAGCACCGCAGTGCGAAACAGACCGAGCTCTCGACGCGCAATGGCGCGGGCGCGCACTCCATGCGCATAGCCCCAGCAGCAAGCGACGCGCGCCCAAGCCCCCATCACCCCCGCGGCGCTTGCCGCGAGCGCCGCGGTCGATGTTGGGGGGGAGCGAGGGGGAAAGCGCGCAGCCGCCCCTGCCCCCAGCGCGCCGGCAACCTCGGCTCAAAGATCCTTTCCCCGCCCCCCTGCCGCGGCCCCCGAACGACAGCTTCTCGGCGTAAGAGAAGTGCCGCGGCACGAGGTGGCTAAATGCACCTTGCACGTCGCGCGCGGCCGCTACTAGATCCGGCAAGCAAGGGGGGCGGCCCGCGGCTGCTTGCCCGAAACCCGCGGCCGGATCGGGGGCCTCGAAACCGCCGCGAGGCACCGGCGCCATGAAAAGAAAAAGCACGCAGCATAGCCTTCTGAGACCACATTGGTCATGGCAAACCAGCCCGTCGCATGCGCGAGCTCTCCCCTGGGCGCCCTAACCGGTAGAACCGCTTTGATGCTTGGGGGGCCTGGTACCGGAGTTGGGCGGCCAAGCTCCTTGGATAGTCGCGTCTGCGTAAGATGACCGCAGCCACGAGATAGCCTCGGCGCGCGCGCCACGTCGAACAGGCGCACGCCAAGCTGGTTCAAGGAACCAAGGTGGGATGGACACGGGGCACAGCCTAACAAGAGCGCCCGCGCGCTCATTCCACGGGCGCGCGATGTGTCCACGCACGTGCTCGCACGCGAGAGCGCCCACGCACGCGCGCGAGACCTGCGAGGGGCCACCCAGGAGGTGTCAGCTACAATAAGTGCGCCGTGCACGCATCCCCCAGCGCGATCGCGCAACGCATCCATATTTTCTGCGCAAGAGCGATGTGGCATCTGACGCAATCTGGCAGGAGCCTGCTGCAGCTGAGCCGCAGCCCAAATGGCCGCCTCCAGCTCAGCACGCAGCGGGGCGCGCGGGTCAGAAGCGCCCCATCCTTGAAGAGACCCTGCGAGGTAAACAAAGAGGGATATCCCAAGAGCGGCGACAGCACGCACGCAGAAAGCCCACGATGAATGGCAGCGTGCTCCTTCGAAGAGCTCCTGGCGTGCCATCAGTAAAAATCCTGGCGCGGTCAATGGCAGCTTGCGGAGGGAAAGGGGCCAGCTCTGCATACGCATTGACCGTCCACGGGCGCCAATACTGCGCCCATGACAGCAGATCCGCGGAGAGCTGAATGGGCCAGCTTCCCCCCGCCAACTTTCTTGTCTCACGCGAGGGTGGGACAGGAGAGCAAAGGGGTGCCTCGCGCACGACGCGCACGTGAACCACGAACTGCATACCCAAGATGCACCGCGGCATTTTCCTAGGAATCAGGCGGGCGATGAGGAAAACCTGAACATGGGAAGGAATCGTGCGAATTATCGGGCTGAGACGCTTCCGACACGGCCCTCAGCTCGCTGGCCAAGACTGAAGCGCACTGGCGCGTGCTGCTCCTCTTCCATGAGCTCGTCATCACCATCTTCCTCAGCGTGTATGTGAACTCCTGCTGTGTCTCGCCCATCCCCCTCCGAATCCCCAAAATGTTCGAGCAGCTGTTCAGCCTGAAGCAGTTCTTCTTGCCCGGTCTGGCACTGCTCTGCTGCTGCCTCAAGCTCTTCCTGCAACTGTTTGTGCCGAGCCCGTGCGTCCATCACACGTTTGCGGCACCTAGACACGAACAACGTTTGCTGGGCAACTCGAGCCTGTGGAAATCTTGAATGCATCATTCGATAGAGAACGGCACGAAAATCCTCACGAAAGTTGTCCATCTGGTCTGAATCGCGATCCAGATCCACTGCGCAATGAATAGGTCCATCCAATGATTCCATTGTGGAACAGAGCGCATTGCGATATTCACCGTGCTGTTTAGGATCAATGGGGGATTCCCGCCATCGCTTGTCGCCATCTCCGGCGACGCCGGCATGATGGGAATGAGATCATCCGTTACCTCCTTCGACCTCTGCTGCTTGCTGTGCTGCTGCTTCGCCCATGCTGACCTCTTGAAAGGCCTAGGCCTTGAGGAGGTGCGCTGACTTTTGTACTTGACTCTCCCATTGTTCGACGAGTGTGGCTGGCACTTCCTGCATGGTGTCGACGTCCACTGGTTATGACGCGCACAAGCCGGACTTTCCTACAACTTGTTGTACTGAGGTGTTTGCCATCGGCGCAGTGAACGATCCCTGTCTTGGCGACCACCTCTGGACAAGCTGCCACGCCCTCTGTCATCTCTGGATTGGTGCGGTGGCGTCTGCGCAAGTCTGCCGCTGCGGATCTCTGCACTGATACTCTGGTCTGGCTGCCCTCCTGGCGCCGTGGCCTGTGCCGGGCAGGGTCCTCCCCTCCGGCGTCTGCCGAACGCTGTGGCAGGCAAACTGTGGCACCGCTGGCCCGCTCTGCGGGCGGGCTGGCGCGGCGCGTGCGGCAGCTGTCCCGCTGGGCTCACAGCTTCCTGGAAGCTGCACCCACAGCCTCGAACCGGGACGGCGGCTGGAGGACGGAAGAGGGAGGAGGGAGGAGGGAGGAGAAGGAGGGAGGAGGAGGAGGAGGAGGAACGAGGAGGAGGAGGAACGAGGAGGAGGAGGACGAACGAGGAGGAGGAGGAGGAACGAGGAGGAGGAGGAGCGATGGGGGGCGCGGGGGCGCTCGGAGCGGGGGCCGGGCATCGGCCCGCCACAGAGGAAGGGGGCGGGCAGGGTCGAGGCCTGCCCGGCTGCCCGAAGCGGGGGGGCGCTCGGCGCAGGCTGAAGAAACGAGCGGCAGTCAAAAGAAGAACAGATGCCTCCTCCTCCTCCCTCCTCCTCCTCCTCCTCCTCCTCCTCCTCCTCCTCCTCCTCCTCCTCCTTATGCCTCGTCGCGCCCTCCTCCCTCCTCCCTCCTCCCTCCTCCCTCCTCCGAGGGCCGCTCACTTTCACAACACATGGGGGTT